TACAGGAGCTGAACTGTTATATCATTAGTTTTTTCAGTCAGTATTTTTATTTATAAAGCAGTGACACTTTGTTTTTTATGTCACTCAATCACCTAAAAGGGGCAATATCTCCATAAAAACCAAACAAAATTCATTTACTAAATTAATACATATCTATATTACAACCAATTTTCATCTTTTGGGATATGAATTATGAAATTATCAAGAAATTTAAATTACTTCTTTGCTTTTGTTCAAGTTCAACAAAGTGTGCAAGCCAAAACACAGTGTTTGTACATCTTTAAAGTTTTTTGATTGCTTCAAATATATTTAAAAGGACACATAGTGCTTAAATTTATTTATTTTAATATAAACCAAGGATGGGAAGATGAGAAAATGGGAATTTTCTGAGGTGTTTTTAACACAGACAATGACAGCCGACATTTTGAAAGGCACTCTGCTGTGACAAAACTAAAAGCCATTCACTTCTGTACTCAAAGCACTGAAAAGCATCATAAAGAGAAAAACACTTTAAACAAACGTCAGGTGAGACTTTTAGCTCAATATTATCATGCTTCTATTGGGAAAGCAACAGTTTAAAAGCCAAAATTATTTTGTGTGCCAATGTAGGCTGCTATAAAATGTCAGACAGGCAGGTTTTTTTTAAGTCTGGCTCTGGAAAACAATCTCTTTTTTTGAGTTTGAAATAAGCCTTCATAAGGACTATTGTGTAGAAATGTTATCTATATGCTCACATGCAAAAGATAACCTAATATTCAGGTATTCCACATAGCTATAAAAGGGTGAAATAAGAACTTTCATCTTTGGTTGTTTGTCAGACGTGGGAAACCACATTAGTGCCATTTTGTCGAGCGTGCTATTTTATAAAATAAACACCTCAAAACCATAAACTTTTATTGAAAAAATAATAGAAGATGCGTAGCCAGGTTGAAACATTATTTATTAAGCGTTCTCTGACTTAATATTTATTTCTACGAGCTTTCGGCTATCAGTCTATAGCCTTCGACGGGTGTATACAAATGATTCTATAAAGGACGCTAAAATTAAGTAGGTGGTATGAAATCTGAGACTATCTATGCTATGTTACAAATGGGTAATATGAATATTTAACTAATTAATGTTTCTTGAGTTCCTTTCTTAAAAGTATTGTGTACTGTGCTGGAAGCGTATTAGAGTTATTTTCAGCTTCGTCTGTTAGTGCAGTGTGCCAGGACTCTAAGGTTTTAAGGTTTCTATGATTTCCCTTGTCTATCACTTTAGCATTGGCAAAGTCAATTATATGGTCTTGAGTCCATGCGTGTTTAGCAACATTCGATCCCTTCTTGCTGTGTTTTACATTCCTTACATGTTCAGACTTTCTCGTCTTCAGGGATCTTCCTGTTTCGCCTATGTAGCTCCAACTACAATCTTGACATGGTATTTGGTAGACCACGTTCTTTTGCTCTTCAGTTGGTGGTTTCTGTTTTGCAGATGGGAACTGGCATTCGAGGGTTTTCACGGGCTTATTGTAAACTCTGATATCATGTTTTTGCAGTGTTCTGGCTAGGGGTTCAGTTAGTTCTTTGATGTAAGGCAGAACCGCGATTCCTGCACGTGGCGTCTTTCCTTCGACTAATTCGAAAAATGATCGGACTAACTCTTCAGGGCTAGAAGAAGATCCCTGAAGACGAGAAAGTCTGAACATGTAAGTAATGTAAAACACAGCAAGAAGGGATCGAATGTTGGAAAACACGCATGGACTCAAGACCATATAATTGACTTTGCCAATGCTAAAGTGATAGACAAGGGAAATCATAGAAACCTTAAAACCTTAGAGTCCTGGCACACTGCACTAACAGACGAAGCTGATAATAACTCTAATACACTTCCAGCACAGTACACAATACTTTTAAGAAAGGAACTCAAGAAACATTAATTAGTTAAATATTCATATTACCCATTTGTAACATAGCATAGATAGTCTCAGATTTCATACCACCTACTTAATTTTAGCGTCCTTTATAGAATCATTTGTATACACCCGTCGAAGGCTATAGACTGATAGCCGAAAGCTCATAGAAATAAATATTAAGTCAGAGAACGCTCAATAAATAACATAAACTTTTAGTTCAGAAAATTACAAAGTTTCCCACAGACATTATTAAAAATGTTCTAGTGAAGTGATTTCATGATAAATAAGTGAGCAATGGGCCCAAAAGAACTGCTAAGTTAGTTTTTGTTAGGACTTCAATTTCATGGCTTCCCATTTCAAAGAGCAGCGACATTTTGCAAACAACCGTCGCGACCTATTTTGATCACTTTTCCTTCTGATTCAATGTGTAGTTACTAGAAAACGATGTTGCATCAACATTATCTACTTTATCAATTTAAAGTTTTATAGAGGATATAAAAAACAGGAAAAATGCATTTTGAAAGCTTTACAACTCAAGTGCGGACTTTTTGACAAAACGAGTTGTCATTTTAAGACTAAATTGATGAAAATAGATATAACAGTGATTTTGGAATATCCTACTTATTTAGTGTAATTTAATACTCGAAGTATTCTTGCCAAAAAGGTCAAAAAGGTCACGTACACACACAGTAATTGTCCTTTGAAATGTACTTTAGCTAAAATAGCAACTTGAACAAGAAGACCAACAATGGGGTCACAAAAACAGTCGAAATTGCGCCAAATTTGCATAAACAGTTCGTCTAAAAAGATAACTTTAAATTAGATTCAACCAACATTAATGCGATCAAATTTTGTGAGTGTTTGATTGCATATTTCTACTCAAAAATACACTTCAAAAAATCGTATCTGCTCACTTGAGTTCCATGTTCATCTTTCTTGTGATTTCCGACTTCTATTTTTAATAAAGTTTGGAGAAATCCTCATTTTTTGCTGAAAATCATGCGCATGGTTCACAGAAGAACCTTGGCCCAAAACGTCAATACATTCGCTTTCCTTTCATGCCAAATTTTCGTCGTAGATCATTCAAAAACCTTTTCTTTTTTCTCTTTTAAAACTTGCTGTGAAATCCTCTTTTGCAACAATATCACCATTATTCATTATTTTTGAAAAACTAAGGTTTTAAACTTGAAAAACTGCAAGTTTTTGGCCGATTTTCTTACATGATACACAGTTGAAAAGCTCGAATTTCGCGATCAATTTTCGTATCCGTTGCTAGGCAACCCGATAAACACGTGCTCAAATATCATGCCCGCAAGTTGAGGTGTCATTTGAGGGCGCATTGCCAGTTACCCACTTGCCAATCTCAGGGCACATCCGGGTGCATTGCCAGTTAATGAGTTAAACATCAAATTTTGAAATCTTGGACAGCATGATACTGAAAAAATATTAAAATTAAAACATGAAACTTGTATTAACACTTATATGGCCAATTTAAAAAAAATTGTATTAACACTTACATGGTCAATTTGAACATGGTCAGTTCACTTCAATAATAACCAGCCCTTGATTGCTTCAGATACAGTAAAATGTACCAGTTTCAGTGAAATGAGGCTAGACTGGAGTTCAGAACCTTATCAGGGATTGCCAATGTGTTGGACCATGAGACCATTGGTCCCAGAAAATGTTTTCAAATGTGTAAAGTTGTCCTTCAGCAGCATATTGAAATAAATGTGTTTGGGGTTGGTTCAAATGAGGCTGCAATATCCATCATTCTTCCTCCAATATCCACCATTCCTCCTTCAATATCCACCACTCCTCCTCCAACATCCACTGTTTCTCCAATATCCAGCGTCTCTACTATTATCCCTCTAGTATAAACCATCACTTCTTCTGTATTTACATTGTCCTTGTTAACGGATCGTATACCCACAACCTTTATTTCATCTATTGATATGCTGTCAGATGCTAGTCAAGCACGCAGGTGTTTTGTTTTTTCTTTTGTGTTTTTCTCCGGGCAGCTTTTGTTGTCTCACATTTCATCACTAGCTATATATTTTTTATCACTGGTTTGTGAAATCTATTAAAGTTCTCAGTATACTTAAAAAACTGAAACTTTATATTATTAAAACTTTTTGTATTACTTAACAGATGCTGTTGCCTTGTATGCTAATGAATATTGTGGCAATTGGCACTATCCTTGATCTGCCAAATATCCTATTCCGAAAAGGTTGTTCATGTATTGCGTTGTTGTGGATGCAAAACAACTAACCTGCCCCCCATGCCCTCTAGGAAGAAAAGATCTGATGGAAAACATTCTGCATAAGGATATGTTTCATGCTTTGCCATGACGAATGCTGAAACAATTTTTGAGATGCAATGATCAATATTTCCTTTCACCTTTACCTTATAATAGATAACCTACACCACTGTGTTCCATTACTTGGTATTTCCAAATACTTGCTGTCAACTTCATAAATATTGTAGATTGGAATACTAGTAAGCAGCCAAAAGTCACATTCTGCTTTTGAAAGCCTGTGTTTGTTTCGTTTAACATCTGCAAATATCCACACCAGATTCTAATTTCTCCAATTTCCTTTTCTTACAATCAATCATGGTTTAAGTATCATGAAACTGTGAATCTGCAGAAGATTTCCGTTTATGCTTGTGTGAATGAAAAAGAAGAGGTACAAAATGATTAGGCTGGAAAGCTTCTCCAGGACTATCATAAGCTTCCACAAACGACTTCAGAGATATGGCTTCAGAAATCTCAATATTAAGCTGATAATATTGAACCAATTGATTTTCCTGCTTACCCTGGTAGAAATCCTAGGTAGGATCCTACTAGAATCCTACAAGATACATACCAGGATCCTACAGGGTCCTATCAGGATCCTACCAAGTTCCTAGCAGAATCTTGTCAGGATCCTGCAAAGTTCGTAGTAGAATCCTATCAGGATCCTGTTGGGATCCTGCAAAGTCCCTAGCAGGATCCTGTAGGATCTTATCAGGATCCGACAAAGTTTCTAGCAGGATCCTATACGATTTTTCCAGGGTCCTATAGAATTCCTAGCAGGATCCTATAGGATCTTGTCAGGATTTACAGAATCTAATGTCAGGAACTACAGTTACAAGTTTGTTACAAGTTTAAATTTCCTACTAATGCAACATTTAATTACCAGTTATAGTAGACTTCCTTCATGCTTCATATACAAATTCAAATAACTGTATGTTGTGAAATTAGCTATGTATTGAAAAAGGGCAATGACCTTTTTTTTTTTTAAATCACCTTTAGCATCCGGTCAGAAATGGGTAATTTGCCTACGAAGCTGTGAAGATTTTGCAATTTATTAATATTATTTTATAAACAATTTAAAAGTTATAAGACAGTCCAAATAAACACAAGTAAAAGCATGCTATAATTGTTCAATGTTTATTCTTTGTTCGAACCAATAGCATATGCGTTCAGATCATCTGCATTCTTTCGCTTTCAACTTGTCCAAACACTTTTGGTTCAAGCTCATTTGTATATCATGCCAGCCTCTTTTCTCCAAGGATTTTTCACCGTATTTAATGGCTATACATCCTACCAAACAAAATATTGTGCTAGCATCATTCCTGATGATGACTGAATCTTAGTCGAAAGCTAGAATGATTAAAATGTTTATTTTCGTTGTTACTGTTGTTTTATATTTTATAAATTAGTCTTGATGAGGAAATCCTAGCTAGGGCAATGCGGTATGTGATTTTACAGTTACATTGTTCTTATAAATGTGCTGTAACAGCTTACTTTTTATCTTGTTTATCCTTTCTTGATCTAAAGCAGTTTTACAGCTAGTGTTGACCTGGCTCTACTGCACCCTCTCTCATTTCTTCTTCAGAGAAGAGATGCAATAGCAGGCATGTGGCATACAAATTTGGCTTCTTGAATTTTGCATTTATATCCAGCAAAATTAAGGTCCACCCCACCAACTATCTAAAAATTTGAAGATTACTTGCTACTCATTAAGTTATTCTCAAAAGTGTAAAATTGCCACAACTTTGTTGAATACCTTAATAAATATATAGAGAAAATGTAAACAAAGCTGACATGTGTTAACAGACTATACCTCTTTTTTTAAACTGATTTCATTAATACCTCTTCTTTTGATTTGATTTGATTCATTAGGGAAATATTTTTTTCTACATTTTTGCATAATTATTTCAGCAATCCCATAATCTCCCAGTTTGCTTATTAAAATACTTACAAACTCTTCCTGATTATAAATTTCAACAGCCGCATCTGCATTGTCACCAACACTTGGGGATCCGTTTGATCTCCGCAATTAAGTTGAAATCATATGGACATGTTAGTTCCTTTCGTTTTATCTTTGCAACAAATCCAACTGGGATTCCAGTTGGCGTTTTCCAATGAGATTAGCCAATCTGGAAGCAATTGGGAATTCAAAAAATGTTTTTAAATTATCTTTTTGAATCCATTGAACTTTGGTCAGAAACAAATCTCCTTGGTCCAAATTCCAACTGGATCTTTTTGTATGGATATTCTTGCTGTGTATATGGGGAATAACAATACCAGTGGCAGTGACTACAAATTTAAAGTTATTTTACTGGTGTTGATCCATTGGAGGAATTTCCCATTCTGGCCTTCTTCTCTGGTGGCGTGAAAACTGGAAACGGTGGTGAATCAGCCTGTCTTTTCAACCTGATCATCTCATTAACAAGCCTCCTGAAGCAGCATTTTTATATTGTGAAACCAAGTAGTGATCTCTTTCATCCCTGTCAAACTCAACACATGATCATCACCACTGGGCAATGTCTAGCAGCATATTACAATGGTCCACTGTTTTAAAATGACATTTGACCATGAGTAAATAGTAGCAAAGATAGCGAGTATTCACAACCACCTAATGCTTCTCTTTGAGGACGCAGTGCACATCTCTGCATGCCATTTAGATTAGGCAAGCTTATGTATTAAAGTCGAAAAGATGATTTGTCTGACTTGCTTTTACCCATGCAAAAATACTGGGTGATATATGGAAAGATTGCAGGTTTGCTCATTTGCTGATAAAATGGCTAGAACTGAGCAGCATTTGCTACTTTACTATAAGTACTTACCCACAAAGACAACTTTTCCTTGGAACGTATCACATTTGCTATCTCTCACAGTAACATTGTCCCTTATAACAGGATATTCTGGGCTTACAATATTTTTGCGCTTGCGCTAATAGTCTGTTTGCGCTAATAGTCAATGGAAAACCCAAGTTGCCAAACATAGACGTTACATTACATATTTATGTTCTGTTATGTAAGTGTATGTTTTGAAATGCATTTGCTGTTTTCTTTGCAGTGGAAATATCGTAAAGTGTCACTATACTGCCATTTGATATGTGCTGGCGATCTGGGAGTACAAATTATGCGCTGCCCACTCTAATTGTAAGAAATATACGCATACTTCACAGATTCAACTCTTTCCCCTTGAAACACAATGACTAAAATACTACAGGTTTACAGTTGTGACACCTATAGTGAACTTTGTAGCCACAGAAATGACAGAAGTGCACACCAAATTGTAAGATTGTAATTGCAAATTATCTTGTTATATGATTGTATGTGGCAATAAAATAGTGCCGGAGCGACAACTTAAGAGCATAACACAACATATTTTATCCTTGGTGGACTGATCAGTGAGCGTAGTAGAAACTGTGGCAAAGTTTTGTCACAAATTGTGCAAGATGCAGACTCCTGTACCCAACATCATTGACCAAACAATTCATAATTCAAGTGGCTCTAAAATGTTTGCTTTTCAACCAAACACAAACATTTTTCGCAAAACTGTTCCACAGGTAGCATATTTTTAACAAGCTGAAAATCAATTTTGGGGTTACGGGTACTAGATTTGGCCAAAAAGATTGATTACAAAAAGGCATAGTAGATTGCATGTAGCCTATTTGTGTTATATTTTTACATTTGTACTAATTGTTTTAATTTCAGCTTGTTTTTGGTTGCACCTTATACTTCTAGTTATATTACAGTAAGCAACAAGTAACAACTAAAAAATCTAGACTGAAAAACGTATGCTTTATCCCCAATTAGGTTCTAATAAACCAGCACAACCAACACATAAATAAAGTTTTAATTTTTCAATCGATTGATTTTATTTTCCAGAAAAACGAAGCATTGGTGAACCATATTATATATGTAACCATAGTGATTGTAATAATTATCATGATGGTGATATTGACAATAGAGATTATGACAATCCTGATGATGGCAAAAACGATAACAACAGTAGTGATGATGTTAACTTTGGTGGTGATAGCATTGATCATGATAATGGTTGTGCTGGTGGTGATGATGTTCATGACTCTGGTGATGGTGATTATGGTTATGACGGCGCTGTTGGTGACAGTGGTGGTGGTGGTGACAGTGGTGTAGTGTATCCCGAAAAATTGTTCCTTTTAGTATATCACAATAACAAGAAATTTACTATGATTAAGCGCTTTGGGAACAAAACAATTGAATTGGGCAGAAGCACTAAGGTGTGAGCATGTTGTAGGAATAATATAAGGATAATAATAGGAAAAAGCATTACAAGTTACCTACTGGGTCATGACAAAAACGATCTGGTTTGCCATAGTTTTTGCATATATTTAAACCCTGTGAAGCAGAACATTATTACTCTTCGACTAGGTTAGCAAACTGGAACAATTTGTTGTGCACATATCGCACACTTTTGTTGTTCTGCTTTATTGTACTGTTTTATTGTTCCCTTTAAAGTGAACATTTCTTTATTTTAAATTTGCATTTTATTGCACAAATTAGGACATAATATATTGCAATTGGGGCTATTTATTTCACGTTTACGATTCGTGCATCACAAAGCAGCCGACAAGTTAATTATACTACGTCGTTTATCATATTCAAGAGGAAGGGCATGAGCTACATTAGGGCCATTTATACAAGCGAAAATAAGCTGCGGCCTAAATAAGCTGCGGCTTAAATAAGTCTCGAACAGAGGGTTTATACGGTATTGTTAAAAATTATACACGATTAGTCGCAAACACTCGTATAAACGACTCATTTTCAACAAAGCTGAACAATTATGTATATCGCTGTCGCAATCATTAATAAAAATATATAATATATTACAACATAAAACGCTCACTGAGTTTCCAGCGATATACATACCCTTTTCTAGATATATACCTAATAATAATAAAAATAAACGAATGAACGAATGTATTCCTTCCACTCGTGAGCTCATTTACCATTGCCACATATAGTAAATGTCCAGGCCTTGTGACCCTGGATGGGCACTTAAAAGGAAAGAATACACACACACAAAGGTTTATTTATTCAACCATTACAAGAGAACGATTGAACAACTGCGCATGAACGAACGTTCAAAGTGAATGCCACTTGATAGCCACCTGCAAAATTATTATTAGCATAACAATATGTCTCACACAACTCATTTCCTTGTCGTAAGTGCCCATCCAGGGTCACAAGGCCTGGACATTTACTATATGTGGCAATGGTAAATGAGCTCACGAGTGGAAGGAATACATTTGTTCGTTTATTATTATTAGGTATATATCTAGAAAAGGGTATGTATATCGCTGGAAACTCAGTGAGCGTTTTATGTTGTAATTTTATTTCCTGAGTACGGGTCTTCGACCAATTTCATATTGTTATATAATATAATTGTCAAAAACATGGCTCGGACAAGGAAAAAGGCAACGCAGAGAGCGATAGTGCTGAGGAAATGAAGCAGTCTTATGTTATATTTTCACTTCCGAGCTTGATTTGGCACAAAGCTTGCACTAGTATAGAAAGTGTTGAAGTACAACCGCCTGTGGAAATTGTTTGAGCAAAAAAAAGCGACAGCCAAACTGTATACGAAACAGGTTGACAGAGTGAGTTGATGTAGTTGTCCTTTGATGGACAAATATGAATTTAGAAATAACTTTCGCCTGTCACGTCCGGCCTTCGTCAAACTTTGCCAAATTCTCGAGCCTTACATCAAGAAGGACACCTTTGCAAAGAACATGATACCGGTCCAGCATCGTGTTTTATTGACCCTGTATTATCTTGGTAAAGGAGTAAATTTCAGGGCTGTTCCAAATCAATTCGGAGTTGCTGTTCCCACCGTCTCTGTGATTGTCCAACAAATAACATCAGCCATAAACAGACATCTGCTTCCTGATCTGATTAAGTTTCCAACCACCGAAGAACAGCTCTCAGCAACGATGAAAATATTTCAATTTCCAAACTGCGTAGGTGCCATCGATGGTAGTCACATCAACATAAAAAAGCCAGTTGTGCATCCAACTGATTACTACAACCGTAAAGGAAACTATAGTATTCTGATACAAGGTGTGTGTGATAGTAACGGTAAATTGTTAAGCATTAGTTGTGGCCACCCTGGCTCCATACATGATACACGAATGCTGAGAATATCAACATTTTACAACAACGTTCAAACTAAAAGGTAACTAGCATAACATTTAAAAATTTCTCTGGGTATCATGTTTAGAAAAATAAATGGACTATCCAATCTAAACATCTTGTCTTACCTGTATAAGTTATAATATTCATTTCATGAATGCCAAGTTGCACAGAAAGCATGCATGATGCAATGCAATAAATCAACGAATTGCAGATGTAAACATCCCATGAAATATGATTTTCTACTTTTCCCCCGTCCAAAATTTCTTTGCAATAGAGCTTGTACCCCCTGAGATTTCCATTCTAGAGGTATCTAAACTGAACAATAGATTCTCTACCTGTGGTGATTTTGGGTGATAGTGCATATCCCTTACAATGTTGGCTAATGATCCCATTCCAGAATTCAGAACTCATCGATGAAGAACAGCAGTTCAACAAGTTGCACACATCTTGCAGGATCATAATAGAGAATGCATTTGGTCTACTTAAGGGATGGTTTACAGTTCTATTGAAACAGGTTGAGTTGGAAACATTTAATGTTGACCAAGTCATACTTACATGCTGTTCCCTTCATAATTATTGTATTAAAGAGAAAGAAGAATACCCCGAAGATTGGTGTGTGGATTCAGAAAATTGCAACATTGCTTTAATAAATGAGGAAATTCAAGTATATAATAATGAATGGGGGCATGATGGTAAGGATACCTGTGACATGTTTGTTGAACTTTTATGTAAAATACCTAATCAAATGTTTTTTGTTGTCTGTTGAAATTTTATGTGTAGTTCTCAAAAACCACACATGTACTGAAAATTTACATGTGAATCACATAATACCATGAGAGGTATTATTTCAGACAAAATTTGTTCAAAAACCAACAAGCCAAACCAAGGCCTGGTTACTTAGCTAAGCATTGCCATTCTTAAACAATTTTCAATATGGCAGATGGTAACAAACAAACCAACCAGCCAGCCGGTCAAAAAGTTAAATTTGTCGGTGGAGGTAGATATGACCTTGCAAGTTTACCAAAAACTAAGAGTGGCACTCGAAGGAGCTCATTTCGTAGAAGTACAGTGCCTCGGCAATTAATAGAAGGAATAGAAGGTATGTTATCAAATACGAACGTACAACTACTATGAGTAGTTATTTAATATAAGAATATTGAATCTGTGAGTTTATAAAACTCTACAAAATTAATATAAAATTTAACAATAAGTTGCAAATATTTTATTGGACATAGAACTGTGACCACATCTTTAAATTAGCTTATTAATATCAGTATAGCCATTTCATTATGGTTGTAAAGTTAATGAATAAATTGTCAAGCTATAATAATGGAGTATGATAAGTAGAGTACTTTATGTTGTATTTTTACAACAAATAAGTTGAACCATATATTTTATTATGCAAAAAAAAAACTATAATATTTTAATATTCAATTCAATTCAGGCAAATCCAAGCATTCACCCCCCCCCCCCCCCCCC